TGACTGTGCTATACAGTAAATAAATAAAAGTATATTTTAATGTGAGGAACATGAAGTGTAGATCATTTAGTCTACCTGTCTGTAGACTAGACATGGTTTGTGCTGTATCTTCAGGTTGTGTCTGTCATCTGAAAATAACCTTTTTTCATCTAAAAGAATTTTATGATCCACTGTACAATCAAATTTTTTCACTTTCAATTTACCACAAAGTATGTGTGTATTTTCAAAATATCTTCTGTCTTCATTTGCATATAATTTAGCAGGGTCTTCTTCTTCTTTTGCATTAATAAAGAGGATTTGTCTCTTTGCCTTACTGAATCTACTGCCACCGCGACCTGACCCCAGATATGTGGCAGAAAATGGATGGATGGATGGACCATGATACACATCTAACAAAAGAATATCTTCTCTCTTCATTTGCATATAATTTAGCAGGGTCTTCTTCTTCTTTTGCATTAATAAAGAGGATTTGTTGAGGATTTGTCAGTTTCTGATGCTGAGTAAATGAATTATTTTTGTTTCATGAAAGAAACCTTGAATTTAAGCTGGAACGCGTCGCCGGGGAGAGGGACGTCTGGACTGCCTTACTGAATCTGCTGCCACTGTGACCTGACCTGGATAAGCGGCAGAAAATGGATGGATGGATGGACCATGATACACATCTAACAAAAGAATATTGATATGTCTATTTAGCAAATAAGAGAAAAATATTATCTGGAGTAATTATCCTGCAAGACTTTAGTATCACAGTGTCAGTGATACTTTTTTTAAAAATATGAACATATTATATGTCACAATTTGGCAAATGTAAAATGTATAACATATGTAAGATATTCAAGTTGATATTCAAGTTGATATTCAGTTCAGTGTTCATCTGTTATAGACAATACTTCACATATTACAAAACTTTTTAAATAAAAGCTTCAATAAGTAGTGGAATGATGTAAGCAATAGTGTCAATTACCCAGACAAACCCATAGACTCTGTTGTATGTACAAGCTAATGTATTGGCACGGAAATCTGGTTCATGCTCCGTTGGAGTAAAATTGGCTTTGTTTAAAGCTTACTGTGCTTCCTTGTACACTGCCCATCTGTGGTCTAATTATAAAAAGGGCAGTCTTCAGAAATTGTCAGTGACTTATGATGACGCCCTAAGGCTATTATTGAAAAGACCTAGATGGACGAGTGCTAGTGAATTGTTTGTGTCATCTCGAATCAGTGCATTTTCCGCTGATGTATAAATTTATTTCACTTGAATTGTTCTGAAAGTAAGATCATTTTATTGTTGACATGTTGCATACAGTGACATGTGATTTACTTCAACTCTCTGGAAACACTGGTATGCCTGCCTTTTAAAGGGATAGTAGTTTATGGTTGATGACTTGTATTCAGTTTTTCTTTTTATTGTTGTTTCCTCTTCTTTCCTTTTCAACTGTTTTTATTGCTTTTTTTTAGTTTTTTGAACTTGGACCTTGAGTCTATAATAAAGTGTCATTCATTCATTCTAGTGAATAAAGATAAATTACATGGCAGATGATCAGAACATGTGGCACATTCAGAGAATTTAGAATGGGCAGAAAATACTGACAATAAATAATGATATTGACTCTGAACCATTAGTTTTAGTTGACTGCAGTAGTCTTGCATTTTGTAGGTAGCTTCAAACCAGTTCTTCCTTAACATGTCAGTCATCACCAGATCTGACTATTGCTACTAACCGACACGCCCATAAACTGTTTGTATAAAAGCACTTGTGTTGCAGAAGTTCTTGCTAATTACCAGATTTAATTTGCTACTTTTGGTTGGCTAGCTTAGAAGCCAGCTAAGCTTGTAGCTTAATTTAGAGCAATGGCTTCCCCCTGTTCCTCTCCTCCTTTCTCTTGCTCGGAGTGTTGCATGTTCAGTTATTCCTCTGCCTCCTTTAGCGATAATGGTACTTGTAATAAATGTCAGATGCTAGCAGCATTGGAGGCGAGGCTCACAGACTTAGACGCACGGCTCCACACCATGGAGAACAGCCCAGCTAGCTATGCCAGGTAGCCGGTGTGGAGCCTCCTAGACGTAGAGCTTCCTCGAGCAGCCGGGATCTCAGACAGGTGGCTGGGTGAGGGTTCGCAAGAGTCGTAGCTCCAAACGAATGTCCACGAAGCATCACCTACCTGTTCACGTTTCAAATCGATTTTGCCCACTCAGTGACACACCCGCTGAGAAAACAACTCTGGTAATTGGAGAGTCCCTAGTCAGAAACGTGTAGTTAGAGACTCCAGCGGCCATAGTCAAATTTATTCCTGGGGCCAGAGCGGGCGACATTGAATCCTATTTGAAGCTGCTGACTAAGGATAAGTGTAAATACAGTAAGGTTGTTATTCACATCGGCGCTAATGACTCCCGACTTCGCCAGTCAGAGGTCACTAAAATTAATGTTGAGTCGGTGTGTAACTTCGCTAAAACAATGTCGGACTCCGTAGTTTTCTCTGGAC